GGGAAACCCCCTCCGTTTATTTGTCAAACAGAGAAGCAACCACTCATTTCAAACAAGGGGAATTTTCACACTGTCAGCTAACTCTTACGTTTCTATCTTTAACTGTTAAAACTCATTAGGGTAGTACATTCCACATCTGAAAAGTTGAACCACGCCCGGCCTCTGACAAGTTCTGTACTAATCCTGGGAGAGAATGTATGTCACCCAAAACGACGGCAAGTCACACCCTGACATCCTCCTTCAGGGTCTGAAAAGCCAGCGCCTGGAGAGCTCCCCGCTGTAACCTGACAGCGAGGCGGCCTGAAATATTTAGCAGGGCAGTATGGATGTCTCCGGCCGGTCCGAGGAGCAGCTCATCCTCTCTGAAACATAAAGAACCACTTTATGGGATGTGTCTGCATGTCCTCGGGCTTCCTAAGAGGCGGGAAATGAGGAGACTGACAAAAGACCCCTTCCCCTCTCCGTTCCTGGCATAACCCCCCTCGGCCCAGGGCACCCACCCTCCACCCTCATAAAAGCCAGCCATTAGAGGCCATAAACCCGCTCTCTGGAAGGCACCCTTCCTCACAGCCAGGGAAACGACCAGAACAGAAAAGCGGCCTTTGTCTCCTGCCCCATCTCCCTGCGACCGAGGGCCCACTGGGCTAGGTGAAGGCACCAGGACCCCTTTCTGAGAAGGTGCACCTCCCGCCGCCCAGCGACCACTGAAGGCAGGCTGTGCCCTGAGCGCTGACACAATAACAAAGTGAAGCTCCCTTTTCCAGAACACCTTTTCACCTGTTCCGAACCTACTCCAGAAGCCTCTCCAATTCCTGGACTTCCCAAGAAATACTGGAGCCTACAAGAGTTCAGAAATTCTAGAACTGCCCGAAGAATTTTCTAATCAAAAAGTCATTCAAATCTCAGTTAACTTTCATCCAGTCTATGTTTTAAAACCTGACACTATTTATTTTTAGGAGCAAGCAATATTTCTTTAAAAAAAAAAAAATATATATATATATATATACTTTATTGATTTTTTACAGAGAGGAAGGGAGAGAGATAGAGAGAGAGAGAGATAGAAACGATGAGAGAGAAACATCGACCAGCTGCCTCTTGCACACCCCCTACTGGGGATGTGCCCGCAACCAATGTACATGTCCTTGACTGGAATCGAACTTGAGACCTTTCAGTCCGCAGGCCAACGCTCTACCACTGAGCCAAACCGGCTTCGGTAGGAGCAAACAATATTTCATTGATGGATTGTCCTCACTGCCTACGGTCCACAAAAATCACAAGTCTGCGATTTACTCCAGATGAGGTTTTACTCACCAAGCTTTAAAAACAACCTATGTGAGACCCAAATACTTTTTAACAGTGAACTGTTTAGCTTCCTCTTTCCTACCAGTGCCTAGAGGGTTCGGAATCCTATTAGAATGTAGATGCCACCGGTCAGAGTAACTGAACTTTCTTACCCCCGGAAATGACGCATGCATACGAAAGAAGGTTCCCTCCCAGCAAGCCGAGAAGACTCCTCCCCAAAGTGACAGCCTTCCCACAGGCTGAGCCCTGGGCTCTCACCGGCAGGATGGACAGTGACCAGCAGGCCCCCAGTTAGATCTAGACAGAAGTCAGTGTGAAGCTCCGTGCCAACACCAGTGGAATGTGGGCAGGCACAGAGTCTTTAATGAGGAGACCTACAATTAGACACGGTCTCCGGAGAGGCCGGGGAGTGTGTGAGGCCCGGGAACAGGCAGAGCCCCGAGGCAGCGGCCGAGTCTGCACAGCTCGGCGGCCAGAGCTCCAGGCAGCGGCAGAGGAGAGCTGAGTCAGGACGGGCTGCTTTCTCTTCCCAACTCCCAGGCAGAAGATGAATCACGGTTTTGTGGATAATGGCTTCCTGGGGAGCTGTGCCTTGAGGTCATCCTACAGCAGGTGAACACCACGGTTCTCAGGGAGGGAGATGCTCGCAGACCGCCCAGAGCGCCACCTCCTGGAGCACAGCAGCGCGGCCAGAGCCGTGCTGTCACCGGGCTCAGACACATCCATCCCTCCGGATTCATCCTTCCGTCGGAAAGGGAGGCGCACACCAGAGGGACTCGGCACCGCCCTGAAAACAGCTGCCCCTTCGAACCAGGAACCACAACTGAGACAGGAGAACAAAGGTAGCCAAACAAGAGGGGCTCTGACACCAGATGAATTGTTTTTAAAATCTGATCTTCATTTATCTTATAATTAAAATCGGTCAACTTCGGCCACGAACTTTTTCCACACAGGTAAGTCCTTATATTTTGTTCATACAATGAAAACTTCCCTACCAAGTTGACATTCCCCCTCCCAATGATGCCAGCTAAGTAAGCAAGTGTACAATCTGACATTAGAAATAACCAAAGCCCTAACCAGTGTGGCTCAGTGGAGAGAACTTGGCCTGCAGACTAAGGGGTCTCGGGTTTGATTCCGGTCAAGGTCATTTGCCCGAGTTGCAGGCTCAATGTCCAGAAGGGGGCGTGCAGGAAGCAGCTGATCAATGATTCTCTCATCATTGATATTTCTCTCTCTCTCCCTTCCTCTCCGAAATCAATAAAAATGTATTTAAAAACAAGAGGGAAAAAAGAGACTCCCTGACTCTGACTCTAAATAAACTCAGAATAAGAAATTCTGACCTGACCAAAAAATTAACATAATGGAAGAATCAGAACACTGGCGTAGAGAAGGACTGATGAGCTGATAGATGAAGCTCACCTTTCATTTCACAGGTCAGAGTCTGAGGGGAAAACCCGAGCCTGCCTGCCTGACTGCACAGGAGCTGAGTGCGAGAGCCCTGCCCCTGCCCGCCGCCCGCCGGGCCCCGCGCCCCTTCCTCCTGCCCCGCATGGGTCTACTGCCGGGCTCCATCGCCCGACAAACAGGGAGGAAGCCACAGTCTCCCACTGCAGAGCCCCCCTCTGCGGAGCCCAGCCCGAGCGCCCTCGGCCTCTCAAACGGGAGCACGCACACCAGCGGGCGCCGCACCGATCCCGCCTTTGGGTGCGTGTGTCAGCACATCAGCTACTCCGCTCCCTGACTTCTAACCAGACTGCCGGATTTATGAGCAGGTGGAAAGTTTGCTTTTAACGTTCTGTGAGGTGGTAGGGAAAGTGATTGAATTATGACGTTACTACACAGAGATTGGTAGCCGATGAGCCATTTCTGGGGTTTATGTCAAAGCAGCCCCACTTCCAGCTGGCGGAGACGTGCCCTATGTACTTGGATGGCAGAGCCGAGGGACATCACCGCCTGCGACAGCCGCAGGGCCACGGGCTGCCTCTGGGAGGCGGCAAAGAAGGCCCAACAGCATGACCGGGATTCCTGCACGACAGCGCTCAACCAAACCAAACTTTATGCCTGGCCCGGACGGAGCGGAGCATCCACCTATGAACCAGGAGGTCACAGTTCAATTCCTGTCAGGGCACATGCCCGGGCTGTGGGCTCTATTGGGGGGGGGGGGGGGGCGCGCGCGCGGGGCGGGGGGTATGCAGGAGGCAACCAATCAATGGTTCTTTTTAAAGTGTGTGTGTGTGTGTGTGTGTGTGTGTGTGTGTGTGTATATATATATATATATATATATATGTATATATATATATATATATATTTTTTTTTTCCTTCAGAGAGGAAGGGAGAGGGATAGAGTTAGAAATATTGACCAGCTGCCTCCTGCACACCCTCCACTGGGGATGTGTCCGCAACCAAGGTACATGCCCTTGACCAGAATCGAACCTGGGACCCTTCAGTCTGCAGACTGATGCTCTATCCACTGAGCCACACCGGCTTCGGCCCATCAATGATTCTTATTGCTGTTTCTATCTCTCTCCTTCTCCCTTCTCTGAAATCAACAAAAATATATTTTTAAGAAAATCAAACTTTAATGCTGCTTCCTAGTTGTCATACAGAAAGCCAGAACAGGAGACCAGCAACACCCATGTTTTTTAAACAATCCGGCTCTGACAGCTCGTGGTCCTCAGAACTCTGTAGCCGCTCAGAGAGCTCCTGGAGGCGGAGGACGGCTCCCGGCTAACGGGGTTCACACGGGAGCGACCTGGAAGCTGTTCCTCACCCACTCCAGCTCTCCAGTTCTCTGAGCATGAAGCTCGGTTTCGTGGTGACCAAGTCACAGTCCTGATTCCCGGGCCACAAGCCACGTGTTCCTGCCTGCAGCACAGGACAGAGCTGTGAGGATTCCAACCGGGGTCTCTACGAGGGCGCGCAGGGAGCTCCTAACCCGTGGGAGCCTCACCACTGATCCGTAAGACCCTGTAACCAAACGCCTGTTCTACCCCGCCAAGACCAGGTCAAAGGACAGCATGAGACGGGTCAGTGAGAAACCAGACCAGGGCTGAGCGCTAACCCAAACCACCGGCCGTCCGAGACTGCCTCCTCACACACAAGCTTCCCCAGACAGCTCATTTCAGCCCTGCGAGAAAGAGGGTCTGAGTAAGCAGCGACTCTCTCAGAACGAAGCAGCAACTGCTGTTCGGGCAAAAGCCTGCCTGACACGAAAGCGCTTTTTGTAATGCCCGGGTCCCGAGCAGCCCCCTCCCGGCGCCGCGGCCGCGCTGCCAGCAGGTGCGGACGGCCCGGAAGCCGGGAAAGGTGTCCGAAGACCGAGGGATGGAATAGCCTGGTGCCCAGACATTAGGTCCCTGAATCCAGGTGGCTCTTTCTCGCCAGTCTCTTAAAATGCCATCGTTGGGAACGGTCCTGTAAAACTGCTTTTGAGTATGTGGCGACATTTGGAATGTGAACGTGGTCCTTCTGTGCAAAACACATGAGCGTGCTGAGCAGGAGGGGAAGGCTGCCCAGGGCTGTACAACAGACCGACTTCTCCTGTTAGGGACTTCTTATCATGCGCACATATGGGTTAAAACTCCACAATAACCCGGCAATCCCCATTTTGAAAATAAGCAGGTAAATGAAATGTCTTTTTTTTTTTTTTTTTTTTTTTTTTTGCTGCTGTATCTTTTAGAAAAGCAAAATCAACTCACATTTAAGCACCAACTCCATGCAAGTAACCTGAACGGTTCAGTCTTTTTGTCATGTATGAGGCCTTTGGTTCTCCAACTACATGGGATCTGTGTTGTTAGCTTAAAAAATACAGAATTGGCCTTTCAAAAAAAAAATAGTCATCTACAGCAACCAACAAATAAGTCTCAAGCAACCCTGCTGCCTACAGCTGCCTTCTGCAGGCTGGGGACGGAGGTGGAGAGCAGAGGCAGGGGAGGGAGCCAGCCAGCCACATAGCAAGGAACACGCCCCCATCATGTCCTCCGCTCCATCACAGGCGCTGCGCTCAGCCTCCCGTCAGCCGCCTCAGAAAGGACTTTTAAACGGAGGCAGGGAGACTGCCGGCTGGAAAAGGCCAGCTCCTGGCAGGGAGGGGCCGGGTATCTGGGGTCTCCTCCCGGCGCTGTGGAAAGCTGGAGGGGTGCAGGCACAGCCCAGGATCCTCTGTGCGCCCCAACGGCGGGCCGGCAGGAAATGCCTGGTTATCTTTCCCTTTCTGTTTCAATCAGAAACACTCAGAGCAGCACACCCCATGCCTCCTTCGTGGAGCCCCTAGCAACTGCTCTTCCTCCTAGCATCCCGCACCCCCACCTCAGCCCCTCCTGCAGCCAATGGAAAACAAATGCCTAAGGCCCTGGCTGACCCTGAACTCAACTTCCCCTCCCAGGCCACTTTCCATTTTGCTGGGAGGCTGAGAAACCTCACCAAGCACCCATCCTCACCTCGTCCCAATGGGAAGGGCAAGGGCGTGACTGGGAGAGCCCTGTCTTCCTGAGGAATAACCGTGCTCCACAGCCCCCTTCCCGACGGAACCCCCCGCACACTAAGGGAAAGCTGTCCCTCTCTCCTCTGCGCCCAGCCCGCGCCCCCCGCCGCCCGGACGGCAGGACAAGGTGGTCAGTGAGAAACGTGGGGGGAGCGGCCGGGGGAGCCAGCGAGGCTGCTGCCCAGCGCCCGGGGGGGGGGGGGGCAGCTGCGTCCCCGGGGAAGGTGCCGCCGAGCCCAGACGCCTCCCGCACAGGCCGCCTCCCCGGGGCAGGGGGGCAGCTCTGGGCCTGGGACAGGGGTGTTTCCCGCCGAGAGGACAGGCCTCCCCAGGGAGGACGGGGCGGAGGGGGCAGAGCAGCCCTGCGGCCGCCGGCGGGAGCCCAGCGCGGCGAGGGGAAAGCGGGGTGCTGGCTGTGCAAGGCGGCCCGTGCGGGGGGGGGGGCGGGGGGCAGGGGCGGGGGCAGCAGCTACCTGCGAGCGGGGGGTGCGGGTGGAGGCGAGGGAAGGGGGAGTGGCCGGAGCGGGGACCGGGCGGGATGGAGGGGCTCAGCAGGGAGGTCCGGCAGCTTTGGGGGGCAGGGTGTGCGGAGGGCATCGGCCCCCGGGCAGGAGGCCGCCCCCGGAGGATGCTGCGAGAAGAGCGGCCCCGAGCGGAACATCTGCCGGAGGGAGGCGGGCGGCGGGCGGGGACCGGTCCCCGGGAGGAGGGAGGAGGATCTGGCTCGGATGAGGTAATCTGGGGAAGGGAGGGGGGCTCAGGCCCAGGATGGGGAGCCCGGGCGAGGGGTCCGAGCCAGGCATCTGGGCAAGGGTCCGGGGAGGGAGGGCGGGCGGGCGGAGCGCCCTCGGCCAGATGGCTCGGACCCGGGGTGGCGCCGGGAGCCCGCGTTGGGGCCGCGCCACGGGAGGCCGTGGCCGGGCCCAGGCTGGTCCCCCGGTCGGGATGCTCCCGGCCCGTGGGGGGGAGGCCCGCAGAGGCGGGCCCGGGCCGGGGCTCCGCGCCCCTTACCTCTCCGCTGCCGCCTCCCCCGCCGCTCTCCCCAAACACCGCCCGGAACCGGCGCAGGTTGGTGCCGATGGCGGCCGAGACCTGCAGCGCCGCGTCGAAGCCGGGGCCCACCCGGAGCAGCGCCGGCCCGGCGGGGGCCGCGGGCGCGGACGGCGCCGAGGACGCGGCGGGCGCCGCGGGGGCTGCCGAGGCGGCGGCCGCTCCCACCGCAGCCGCGGCCCCGCCGCTTCCCGCCGCCGCGGCCGCGGGGGAGGGGGGCGCCCCGGCCGCGCCGCCGCCCGCGGGCCCGGGCGGGAGCAGCAGGGCCGGCACGCGCTGGCGCGGGGCGCCCCCCAGGCCCCGGCGCCCCCCGCCGCCGCCGCCCCCGGTGGTCCCGGGCCGGGCGGGGAAGCGCCACCGACAGCTGTGCGCCATGTTCGCCCCGTGAAGTGCAGCGCGAGAGGGAGAGGCGACAACACAGGGGGCGGGGAGCGGGCCGGGCCCCGGAACCTGCCTACGCCGCCCGGCGCCGCCCCGCCGCCTGCGCGCCGCCGCCCGCCATGCCGAGCGCGGGGCGCGCGCGCCGCCCGGGAACCTGGATGCGCGGCGCCGGCCTCCGCGCCCGCCGCGCCGCCGCCCGCCCGCCCGAGCCCCGGGCGCCGCCCCGCAACCTGGATAGGCGCGCCCCGCCCTCCGCAGCGCCGGCCGGCGGGGGGGCGAGCCCGGCGGGAGCGCGGGTTCCGGGGGAGAGGGGGCGGGGGGAGGGAGCCGGCCCCGCAGCCCGCGAGCCCGGCCGTCACTCTGGTCCCGGGAGGCGCCCGGAGCGCCCGCCAGGCCGCTGCCCGGAGCGGCCGCCGGGCCGGACCGCGAGCCGCCGCCCGGGCGCGGGCTCAGGCCGCCTCTCCGGGGCCGCGGGGCGAGGCCCCGGTGTGCCGCCTGCGGACCGGAGCCCAGCTCAGCGCCCGCGGGACCCGGAGGCCTCCGAGCACGCGCTTCCCAACACCGAGCCCCTCCCCTCGCCGCGCTCCCTCCGAAATGTGCGCGGCGGCGGCCGCCTCCCCGCCGGGCTCCGGGCTGGGACCCCGTCCCCGCGCCCCCGCCGTGAGCGGGCCATTTCCCGGGCCCCTGGCTGCCGGCCGCCGAGCGGGTGACGGCGCGGGGAAGTTGGGGAACTAACGGGGCCGGGCGAGCGGAGGGCGAGGCCCCGCCTCCCCGCCGCCGCCGCCGCGTGCATAGCGGGCCCGCCGTCCGCGCCCGGGCCGCGAGCACGTTTCCCTCTGGAGGGGCGGGGGGCGTCCGCGGGGTTTGGGGGAGGGGGGCAGGAAGAGGGGGTGCATCTCCACCGGGGTGCTCATTGCGGGAGAGGGAGGGCGCCTCCCGCTGGGCGCTAAAAGCCTGAGCGGGAGAGCAGAGCGGGAGGGAGGGGTTTGCGCCGGAGAACCTGAGTCGGTTGACTGGGAATCGATCCCCCGCCTGCAGGCCCGGGCCGCTCCACCCCCAGCTGAGGGGGAGTTCGCGGGAAGGTCACGCCGCCGCCCCGGACTCCGCACGGGCCCAGCGCAGCGGGCACATCACGGCCGGCGGCGGGTGCGGGGGGACAGGGGGACGGGGAAGCAGGTTGCAGTCCGCTCTTCTGGACGGTGCACCGCGCGTTCCCAGAGAAGGTCCACGGCCTCCTGGTGCTGAAACGGCGTCCCCCCGCCGGGGAGATGGTCTGGAGCGGCCAGTGAGAGGCAGAGAGGGCAGGCGCCGCGGCCAGCTCTGCTCCCAACTCTGCCGCATCGACGTCTTCCAGCCGCGCAGGATGGAGCCCAGAGGGTTTGCAAAGCGCGCACAGAACCAGATTCCCTTGTTGCCTCGCTGGTTTACTAGGTGCAAAAATGGTGGGGGTCGTGGAGGCAGCCCCAGACGCAGCTAAGGGGGACATGGCGCCCATGGTGGAGGGTTCTCCATTGCAATCGTTTGGCGCGAGGGTTGGGTGCCTCAGGGTAGCTGCTCTGGTCAGTTACCCACCGAGGACCACGTGGATTCCCGCAGGCGTCCGGATTTGTTCGCGCTCTCGCTGATTTTTCTTTTGTATTGCCCCCCCCCCCCCTTTAATATGCACAGCCGTCTGCAGAGGTGACCGGCCAGGGACCGAGGGGCAGGGTTTATGTAACTGTCCACAGGGTTCCTCTGGGTCCCGCACCGCGGAGAAACCAGGCCGGCGAGGCTGAGCAGCCGGCCTTCCTCACACCCAGGGATAAAAACTTGAAAAGTCACCTAGTTTGTCTCTTGGCCTCCACGCTAGTCCGAAAGGAGCCAGAGTAAATCAGGATTGGGTTTATGGTTGCTGCTTTTAAGGCAGAAATAATCACATTTGTTGAGTGTTTCTGCCAGCCTGAGTGGTTTATAGGCATTCAGTTCTCACCAACCTTCTGAGGTAATGCTGAGTTCATGAAGAGGGAAACAGGCCTGGAGTAACACCCAGGTCACTCGATAAGCAGCAGGACCAAAATGCATTGGGTCTAACACCAATATCCATTCACCTTACTGTGACCTCAGAGACATACCGTGTGGTCTCGCCGATTAGCATTACCACCATCAGAAAAGCAGAACAAGCCGCTGGGTGCGCAGGGGTTAAGCGTTGACCTCTGAACCAGGAGGTCACAGTTCGATTCTGGTCAGGGTACATGCCCGGATCTCGGGCTCCATTCCCAGGGTGGGGCTAATAGGTGGCAGCCGATCAATGATTCATCATTGATGTTTCTCTCCCTCTCCCTTCCTCTCAGAAATCAATCAATATATATGTAAAACCAAACAGTTGCTGGTGACGATGCAGAGAAGTGGGGATGTGGGGAGTGCTGGTGGAGATGGAGGTGGTGCACTGCCATGGAAATCGCACAGCAATGCAGTGCCTTGGAATTTACATGAAGTTGCCTTGTGACCTATGCGTCCCCTTTCTGAGGCTATACCCAGAGCACTGGAAGCAGGCTCTCAATGAGACGTTTGTACAACCGTTTCACGGCAGCAGGGTTCACAATGCTTAAAACACAGGAGCATCCCAGGTGCCCATGGACCACTACAGTGAAGAATTCAGCCTTGGGAAGGAAAGAAATTCTGCAATATAACCACAGGATGAACCTTGAGGACATGCTAAGTGAAAGAAACAGTCACAAAAAAGACAAATGCTGGATGATTCCACTCATGTGAGGTGCTTGGAGTAGTCAAAACCATGGAGGCAGAAACCTAACGGTTGTTGCCAGGGGCAGGGCACGTTTGGAGAGTTATGGTTTAATGAGTAGAGATTACAAAATGAAGAGAGCTCGAGTCCGTTTGGCTCAGTGGATAGCATGTTGGCCGCAGACTGAAGAGTCCAGGGTTTGATTCCAGTTAAGGGCACTTGCCCAGGTTGTGGGCTTGCTCTCATCACTGATGTTTCTATCTCCCTCTGAAATAAATAAAAAATCTATTTTTAGCCCTAACCAATTTGGCTCAGTGGACAGAGCATCGGCCTGTGGACTGAAGGGTCCCAGATTCGATTGTGGTCAAGGGCAGGTACCTTGGTTGTGGGCACATCCCTAGTAGGGGGTGTGCAGGAGGAAGCTGATAGATGTTTCTCTCATCAATGTTCTAACTCTCCCTCTCCCTTTTTTTTTCTGTAAAAAAAATCAATAAAATAAATATATATATTATAATATATATATCAATATTTAGAAATGTATTAGTTAAAAAACGTTATATATGGTTGTAATGTCTACACAATAATGTGAATATGTTTTTTAAAAAAGCATTCTGTGCCTTACTCATATGTGCTTTATTTTTTTACCTTTAATTCCATTTATTGCTCTTGAATATCTAAAATAGTCTATTCAGCCAAAACCGGTTTGGCTCAGTGGTAGAGCATCGGTCTGCGGACTGAAAGGTCCCAGGTTCGATTCCGGGCAAGGGCATGTACATTGGTTGCGGACACATCCCCGGTAGGGGGTGTGCAGGAGGCGGCTGGTCGATGTATCTCTCTCATCGATGTTTCTGGCTCTCTATCTCTCTCCCTTCCTCTCTGTAAAAAATCAATAAAATATATTTCAAAAATAAATAAACAAAAATAAAATAGTCTATTCAGTTAAAAATGTAAAGCAATTAGCCAAAACCGGTTTGGCTCAATGGATAAAGCTTCGGCTTGGGGACTGAAAGGTCCTGGGTTCAATTCCGGTCAAGGGCATGTACCTTGGTTGCAGGTACATTTCCAGTGGGGGGTGTGCAAGAGACAGCTGGTCGATGACTCTTTCATCGATGTTTCTAACTCTATCTCCCTTCCTCTCTGTACAAAATCAATAAAATATATATTTTTTAAAATGTAAAGAAATTAAAGTTTGACTCCAATCTTGTTCTGAATGACCCTCCCCTTTCCCCGTGATATTTACCCTTTCTTAGGGGCAATCATGTTATCAGCCTCCTGGGTATTCTAGAGGTAGCTGGTGCCTATTCAAGAAAACACACACAGAAGTTTTTCCATAAGTGAAATAAGATTGACCCTACTTCCTGGATCTTGCTTGGAAATTGGTATCTTGGAAATCACTCTTACCAGTACTCAGCATTTCCTGCATGGAACAGACAGCAGCAGAGTCTATGTAACCAGTTCTTGATTGGTAGGCACTTAAGTAGTTTCCAAGCCTTTGCTGTTTTAAACAATGCTGGCCCTAGCTGGTGTGGTCCAGTGGCTAGAGCTTCGGCCTTTGGGCTGAAGAGTCCCGGGTTTGATTTTGGTCAAGGGCACATGCCTAAATTTCCGTGTGCAGGAAGCAGCCGATCCATGATTCTCTCTCATCATTCCATATATTGGTTTCAATATTGTTTTTTTAGAGAGAATTGGAGAGAGAGGGAAGGACAGAGAGAAATATCGATGTGAGAGAAACACATTGATTGGTTGCCTTCTGCATGAGCCCTGATCAGGCTTCAGGTCTGAGGAGGAGCCTATAACCAAGGTTTGTGCCCTTGACCGCAATTGAACCCAGGACCCTTTGGTCTGCAGGCCGACGCTCTATCCACTGAGCCGAACCAGCTGGGGCTCATCATTGATGTGTCCATTTCTCTTTCAATAAAAATCAATAAAATATTTTTCAAATAAAAGATATTAAATAATATTAAAATATTAAATGGTGCATAACCTTGAATATATATAATTTAGCAAATACATCTGTAGTATACATTTCTGGAAGTGGAATTGTGAGGGATGCACATGTGTGTTTTGATAGATGTTGACAACTTGCTTCCTGCAAAGCTTGTACGACCTCAGACCCCAGCAATGTTTCAGTGCCTTTCCCCAAACTTCCCCCACAAGGATTTTTTAGCTTCTTGAGCTTTGCCAGCCTAGAAGAAAGACACATATTTTAATTTTTTTCAAAATGACAAAAGGAGACATTTAAGAAGGGAATTTAGCCCCTTTCTGCAAACTTGTGAATTACTTTTGGGTTGAAGGGACCTCTGTGTGTCCATTCCCTCTTCTCCTCCCTGGAAAGACAACTCATTGCAAACCAGTGTCATGGTGGCATT